GAAGCTGACAAATTCTTATCACCTAGTGAAGTAGCTGTCATAACATCACATAATACTCATGTGTTTGTGGCGATGTAAACAAACCTACTGTGCTGCCTGTCAGATAAAAGTATAGTGCATACCGGCTGGGTACAGTGACTCACACCTGTAATCCCAGCACTTTGGGAGGCCGAAGCAGACAGATCACTTGAGACCAGGAGTTTGAGATCAGCCTTGCCAACATGGTGAAACCCTGTCTCTCCTAAAAACACAAAAATTAGCTGGGTGTGGTGGTGCATACCTGTAATCCCAGCTACTAAGGAGGCTGAGGCAGGAGAATTGCTTAAACTGGAAGGCGGAGGCAGCAGTGGGCCAAGATCGCACTGCTGCACTCCAGCCTGGGCAACAGAGTGAATGAGACTCCCTCTCAAAAAAAAAAAAGCATAGCACATACAATTATGTATAGTCCATAAAACTTGATGAAGATAATAAATAACTGTTACTAGTTTATGTGTTTACTATTTTTTATCACTATTTTAGAATGTATTCCTTGGAATTTATAACTGTAAACAGCCTCATGCAGGCCCTTCATTAGGTATTCCAGAAGGTATCGTTGGTTTGGTTTTTTGTTGAGACAGGATCTCACTCTGTCACTCAGACTGGAGTGCAATGGTAAAATCCTGATTCACTACAGCTGCCTTGACCTCCTGAGCTCAAGTGATCTCCCACCTCAGCCTCCTGAGTAGCTGGGACTACAGATGTGTGAACACCCGGCTAATTTTATTGTATTTTTTGTAGAGACGGTTTCACCCTGTTTCCCAGACTGGTTTCCAACTCCTGGGCTCAAGCGAACTGCCTGCATCAGCCTCCCAAAGGGCTAGGATTACAGGCATAAGCCACCACACCTAACCAGCCATTGTTACCACAGGAGATGACAACTCCATGCATGTTATTACTCTTGTAGATCTTCCAGCGAGATAAGACAGAAGAAGACGACAGTGACACTGATGATCCTGACTCTGTATGCCTAGGCTAATGTATGTGTTTGTGTCTTCATTGTTAACAAACAATTTAAAAAGTAATAAAGTAAAAAATTTTTGAATAGAGAAAGCACGCAGAATAAGGATATAAAGAAAAAAAATACTTGTATTTTTGTACTGCTGTATAGTAAGTTTGCATTTTAAGCCAAGTGTCACTACAAAAGTGAAAAAGTTAAAAAATTAATATAGTTTATAAAGTAAAAACATTAAATTAAGCTAAGGTTAATTTATTACTAAAGAAACAAAATTTTAAAAATAAATTTAACATAGCCTAAGTGTACAGTGTTTATAAAATCTACAGTAGCATATAGTAATTTCCTAGGCCTTCACATTCATTCACTACTCACTCAGTGACTCACCCAGGGCAACTTCCAGTGCTGCAAGCTCTATGCAAAAAGTTGTAAGATAAAATAAATCTAGACCAGCCAGGTGTGGTGGCTCACGCCTGTAATCCCACCACTTTGGGAGGCCAAAACAGGAAGATCACCTGAGGTCAGGAGTTCAACACCAGTGTGGCCAACATGGTGAAAAACCCATCTCTACTAAAAATACAAAAATCAACCAGGTGTGGTGGCAGACACCTGTAATCCCAGCTACTCTGGAGGCTGAGGCAGGAGAGTCACCTGAACCCAAGAAACAGAGGTTGCAGTGAGCCCAGATCATGCCACTGCACTCCAGCCTGAATGACAGAGTGAGACTTCATCTCAAAATAAATAAATAAATCTAAGCCATTCTTATATATCTAATTATGTCCTATAATAAAACTCTAAATGAGTAACAAAAATTTTTTGGTGTTGTACAGTCATTCAGTCAAATATTTAATAAACATTTGTTAAATACTACCTATCGTCCAGGCCCTATATTACAGAATATACAGAAATATTCCCTAATGAAATATACATTCCAGTAAAAATAGGCAAACATACATAAGTTCAACTTTGCATATGTTAAGTTTGAAGTGTCTAGAAGACATGCAAATGGAGCTGTCTAAATAACTCCCTAATAGTTCACATGTAAATAAATGAGATGCTCATGCCTAACTTACTGAAAACATGGTACAGATATATATCAAACATGTATACACTGAACATAAAGATCTCCTAAACTCCAATATTAGTTAAAATACTACACCAAAAGGTAGTTTTAATATGACAGACATGGTTTCAGTGTGAGAAAGGGAAGAATACACAAGCAATCAAAGTACATCCACTAAGTGCTATTATACGAGAAGTCCAAAACGGATAAAAAAAAAAAATCTAAGTCCAAAATGGATAAAGGGAGAGAGAAAAACTTCTGGCTAGATGTCCAAGTTCTCTGTAAATGAGGAGCAATATCCAGCAAAGTATTAAAGGTTTGACTCATGAATGAATCTAATCAATGAATATAATATTTTAGCTGGCAATATACTATCAAGTAAAGCACAGATTACTGACAAATTTTAATACCTTAAGAATTAAACTATGGCATTAAATATAACTTCAACTTAAAATAACATACAGGAAACAAATGCCGAATGCTAAAACAAGATTTCTAAAACATATTACCAGAATTAAAGAAATAAAAGGTAAGTGAATACTGAAACAGGCCAGGGAAAAAAAGTATCTTATTAGGGATAGTCCCCTAGTAGAAGCTTAGAGGATGAACAAGAGTTGAAAGGATGAAAACAATATTCTGTACAATAGAAACCACACAGGTTCAGAGTTAACAATTATTAAAAGAGCTTAGAGGAATGAGTCATCCATTCAATAAATATTTACAATATACCTATTTTATGAGGGGCATTAGAAATCAAAGGTAAAGACACAGTTCTCCCCTCAAAAAGGCTATCGAACACTGCAGACAACAGACTATGAAACCAGTTACAGTGTGTTGAGACTGGGTTAGATTCAGGCAGCTATGGAATACAGAGGATGGGTACCTAAACAGATCCTACAGGAGCACAGAAGGCTTTCTGAAGCTTTCTGAATGACACATAAATTAAGACTGAAATGAACGGGAATTAACTAAACTGGTACTGGGAAGTAGTGGCAGGCAGGGGGTGCAAGAGCAGAGACAGAGAATGGGAGGACAAGTCCCAGAGGAGGGGTTCACACCTATAATCCCAGCATTTTGGGAGGCCGAGGTGGGTAGATCACCTGAGGTCAGGAGTTGGAGATCAGCCTGGCCAACATGGTGAAACCCCATCTCTACTAAAGACACAAAAATTAGCCAGACGTGGTGGCACATGCCTGTAAATCCCAGCTACTCAGGAGGCTGAGGCAGGAGAATTGCTTGAGCCCAGGAGGTGATTGCAGTGAGCCTAGATCGCGCCACTGCACTCCAGCCTGGATGACACAGCAAGACTCTGTCTCAAAAAATAAAAATTAAAAAAAAAAGAGAGAGAATGGGAGGACAGGCAAAACAGCACCCAGAGATTAGAGTGCATGTATAGGCCAGAAAGAGAAAAGCACACCTATAAGCGGGTGGAGAATATGGCTGTGACATAACTTTATACAGGTGAATGTAAAGAGGTAAGGCTGAAGAAATAAACAGAAACCAGAGAATGAAACAATTTGAAAGCCATGTTAAGGAGTGTGGACCGTGTTAAAGAGGATGTCCTAGGCTGGGTGCTCACACCTGTAATCCCAGCAGTTTGAGAGGCAGAGGTGGGTGGATCACCTGAGGTCGAGAGTCTGAGACCAGCCTGACCAAAATGGAGAAACCCCATCTCTCCTAAAAATACTAAATTTTTTAGTAGAGGCGCATGGTGGCGCATGCCTGTAATCCCAGCTACTCAGAAGGCTGAGGCAGGAGGTATTGCTTGAACCTGGGTAACAAAAAAGGTGTCCCTTTGGCTATACCAGAAGTTTCACGACAAAGAAAAGAAAGTTTGTAGTAGTGAGGGACCAGATTATCTAGAACAAGGTTGCAAGCTGTATTATCTACAGACTAGGTAAATAACAAAAAGGAATAAAGAGGACCAGGTGTAAGAAAAATCGAAGAGGAACAGGGACTGCTGTTGAAAGCAAAAGCCCCAACTAAATGGTGCAAACTGTTGCAATGAACGAAGGTAGTTGTGTTGCTAGATCTTATTTTTTAAAAAATAAGATGAAAATTAAAAATTCCAAGAGGAAGCTCTTGATTTTTAATGACAGCAATTAAATTTCTTTGAAACATGATGCAGGCCAACATTGAGGGGACTAAACAAGACTATGAGCAAACCGATACCACCCATCACTTGTCCCTACTGAATTTCAGTCATCTGAAGCTCAAAGACAAAGCTGATGAGTCTGACTTGACCTCAAGGCAGCGGAAATTTAAACTAAAATTGTGTTTGAGATTCTGCAGGAATAGAGGTGGTGTAAAAAAGAGGTAGGCTAAGAATAGACACTCAGAATGCGTATAAAAATTAAACAATAATAAACTTAAGAAAATAGTTTAGCAGGGCATAGTGGCACATGCCTGTTATCCCAGCTACTGGGGAGGCTGAGGCAGAAGAATCGCTTGAACCCAGGAGGCGGAGGCTACAGTAAGCTGAGATCGTGCCATTGCACTCCAGCCTGGGCAACAAGAGTAAAACTCCGTCTCAAAAAAAAGAAAACAGGTAATCCCCAAAACCTCAAAATCTTAACATTTATATATTCAGAGTCCAATTAATCTTATCTTACAAGAATAAAGTCTGAGAGTATTTGAAATAAATTATAGAAAATTCTGCTGCAATTGGGATATATGGATAACTAGATTAGAAATTACAGAATCATTTACTGAAAGTAATCTTCTAAACCGTCCCTCATCTAGGAAAGATGAAAGCAACAGACTATCAAAATATTAAGTCACATATGTTATACCTTAGATATGGCTCTGCTTTTCAATATGTTCACTCTCTAATAGTATCTACTAGAGAAAAAAATAGAAAAAAAATATGTTGATTTGAAAACCCCTAAGCAATTAGTAGCTAGGGAAGTATATCCAATCCCCATAAAGTGAAATGTTGGGCCTCACCTTATGAATAAATAAGTCATCATGTAAGGAATCCTTCTGGTTCACAGCAATAACTTTAAAGCAAAAAAAGGAGAGGTTAGTGATCTTTCCTTAGAGAGATGATTATAATTATAATCCTACCTACTCTAGCCCATGTAGAGGGTCTAATATTCTGATAAAAAGCAGAGCCAATATTCTGATTAAAAGCGTATCAAAATGAAGCCAGGCACAGTGGCTCATGCCTATAATCCCAGCACTTTGCAAGGCTGAGACAGGCAGATCACTCTGAGCTCAGGAGTTTGAGACCAGTCTGGGCAACACAGCAAAACTCTGTCTCTACAAAAAAACTACAATAATTAGCCAAGTGTTGATGGCTCATGTCTATAATTCTAGCTACTTGGAAGGCTGAGGTAGAAGAATGGCTTGAGCCAAGAAAGGGAGGTTGCAGAGAGCTGAGATTGCATCACTGCACTCCAGCCTGGGCAACAGAGTGAGAGACCCTGTCTCAAAACAGAAGTTTATCAAACTGAAACATCACATTTTATCTAAAGAAATGAAGTAGATCTAGATCAGACAACACTTACAGAAAGTCCTAAATGCTCTGTCAAATTTAGGAATGGATAGCAGGATTTCAGACTACAAATGATTAACAGTAAAGATGAGCACCCACGAACAGGTGAAGAAATAAAAGAAGAAAAGATAGCTAAGGCACCTTTATTGAAGAGTAACAGAATTATATAACAACAAAGTTTTTTCAAATGCTCTAAGTCTGTGCTGTTCAACACAGGAACTACATGTGGGTACTGAGTACTTAAAATGTGGCTAGTTCAGCCGGGCACAGTAGCTCAAGCCTGTAATCCCAGCACCTTGGGAGGCTGAATTGGGCAGACCACCTGAGACTGGGTGACCAGTCAAGACTAGCCTGACCAACATGAAGAAATCCCATCTCTAGTAAAAATGCAAAATTGGCCAGGCATGGTGGCACATGCCTGTAATCCCAGCTACTCAGGAGGCTAAGGCAGGAGAATCACTTGAACCCAGGAGGCGGAGGTTGCAGTGAGCCGAGATCATGCCAGCGCATGCCAGCCTTGGAAACGAGTGAAACTACATCTTGAAAAAGAAAAAAAAAAAAGAAAGAAAAGAAGTGCTATCTTCATCAGTATTTCACTGCCTGTTTCCTGTTCTCCAAATCAAGACATTCCCTCATCCTATTTGTATTTGGAAGAATAGTGACAAGGAAGGAAAAAGATTTGCATTTATCAACTGAAACAAAATTGTTTTCCTCGTCTCTTTCCCTGTAGAACTGAACTCCTTAAAGAGAGGCTGAAACCTATTCACCTTCCTGTCCCTAGCACCTAGTGCTTATCTGCTGCTCCACCACATCAGAACCAAGCAAATATCTTTTTCTACTCTAAACCAGTATCAAGTATAAATGAAGATTAAAACAATAAAGGTCAATCCTCCCAGTGTTTCTTTTTGCAAAAACATGCATATGCCTATATTCCATATAACTATTTTTAAAGCTACAAAGTAATATACATCATCTTTAAGGGAAAACATGCAGTTCCATAAAGCTAGTTTCCTTTCACCACAATCCCATCCAAAGGCAACCACTATCATAAATTTGGGTAAATGAAATCACATTGTACACATAAATTCTGAAATGAACTTTTCCTTATATTTATAAGGTATCTCCAAATTCATACACATCAAAAGGCAGCATGGTATAGTGGACTCTGAAGCCAGGTTAGGTTCAAATCCTAGCTTTGAATCTCAGCTCTGCTATTTACTAGCTATCAGAGTAGGTTATTTACTCCTCTTTGCTTCAGTATTCCCATATGCAAAAGGAAGATAAAGATAGTACCTCTTTCTGAATTTTCATGAGGATTACAACAATTAAGGTTCATAAAGTGCTTAAAACAACAGCTGGACATAGAAAGTACAAGGTGTTTCTTAAATTGAAAAAATACTAATTAATGATAATAGTCTAAATATAGATCTAGGTAATTCTTCATTGTATAACTATTCTATATGTTATTTATCCATGCCTTCCTACTGAGAGACATTGCTTGAAGCAGAGATCTAGTTTTCCCCCCAACTAGAAAACCAATTCAACAGTCCACTTTTTCTTTCCTTAGTGCCAGGAAATGCCATTTCTAGCCTTCACCAATGTTCCAAATACGTATGAATCCATTTCAACTCTATTCTATTAGTTTGTCTTTTCCTATACTAATACTATATTATTTCAAGTGTCATTTTTTTTATCAAACGTACTTACATACAGTAAAGCATAAAACAAATACTGAATGTACAGCTTGACTTTTAAATACATATACTCCTGTGTGATCTAGCTCAGACCAAACTATTAACATTCCTTATGCTCCAGAAGGCTCCCTCATGATCCTTCCCAATCAGTACCATGCTTCCAAGATGACACAATTCTAATCTCTATCACTATAGTTATTTCTACCTGTTTTTGAGCTTCCTATAAATGAAATCATATAATATGCATGCCTTGTGTCTCACTAATGTCATTCAACATTAAGTCTGGGAGCGATTCATGTTATGTTATGCATAGCAGTTTGTTCTTTGTATGCAGTATTTCAATCTAAATAGAGTAATTTTTATTTTTTTGAGATGAAGTGTCCTTCTTGTCTCCCATGTGCAATGGCACAATCTCGGCTCACTGCAACCTCCGCCTCCCAGGTTCAAGTGATTCTCCCACCTCAGCCTCCTGAGTAGCTGAGATTACAGATGCATGCCACCACACCCAGCTAATTTTTGTTTTTAGTAGAGATGGGGTTTACCATGTTGGCCAAGCTGCTCTTGAATGCTTGATCTCAGGTGATCCACCTGTCTGGGTCTCCCAAATTGCTGAGATTGCAGGCGTTGAGTCACCACACCCGGGGATAAATACCACAATTTAAAAATTCGTCTTGATATCCAACAGAGTAAGTTCTTTCTCATTCTTTTTCTTCTTCCAAAACTATCTTGGTTATTCTTGAACCTTTAATTTTGCACATGAAGGTCATTTTCCACACACACACATACAAAAAATCCTACTAGGATGTTTCTCTGAAACTACATAAAATTCACAAAGCAACTTTCAGTAGTATTACTAAATTTTAAATAAACTTCCCACCCAAAAATATAGTATATCCTGCCTTTTATTTATGACTAATTTTATGTCCTTTAATAAAATGTTGGGCTGTTTATATAAATTTCCTGTTAAGGAGATCTTTTTTATTTTCTAACTGGCTATCACTAATTTGAATGCTGACCTTGTATCCAGCAATGTTGAATTCTCTTATTAATACAAACAATATGTTCATTTCTTTTAAATTGTCTAGGGAAAATTTCATCTAATTTTTCTTCCTTTCCAATCCTTTTGGATTTTCTCTTTTGCTTCCCTTACTGATGGAGATATATCTCTGTCTTATACTTGGCTTTTATGAGAATGTTTCCAAAGTTTCACTATTAAGCATGATGCTTGCTATCTGAAAGGTAGCCTTTACTGTAAGAAAAAAAGCTCATTTCTGGTCATAGTTTAAGAGGGGGTTTTTAAAACATTAATGGGTACTGAGTTTAGATACTTTTACTAAATTTATCTAATTTTTTCCTAAATTTTCTTATAAATTAAATTAATACAATTTTCAAATATTGAACTATCCTTAAATTTCTATCCCAATTAAAACTGTTGTGTATGTGTTCATAAGAAGACTGAATGTAATATGTTTTTACTTGTATATTCTTTCCATTCTAGATTGCAATACTAAACTTGCCTAATAAACAGATAGGGTAACTTTGCCTCTTTTTCTGTCCTCTGAGTCAATTTGTATAAGATTGGGATTAGCTGTTCCCCAAAAGCATATCTAAAATTATAATCACAAATATCACCATTAAACTATTCCTTCATACTTGAAATGCTGAGGCTGAAGAATTGCTGAGGACAAGAGTTTGAGGTTGTAGTACACTATGATCATGCCTGTGAATAGCCATTGCACTACAGCCTCAGCAGTACAGCAAGACCCCATCTCTTAAACAACAAAAAAAAAAACCTTTTCCTTCTGACACCACTTCACACAAACTATAATGGCAATAATTTAAAAGACAGACAATAAAAAGCATTGTTGACAGTACAGAAAAATGTGAACGAACCCTTGTACACTGCTGGAGGGAAAATAAAATGACGCAGCTGCTTTGGAAAACAGTCTTGCAGTTCCTCAAAAGTTTAAACAGAGTATCACATGACCCAGTAGTTTCACTCCTAGGTATACATAATCAGCCCTCCATATCCATGGGTTCTGTATCCATGGATACAACCAATTGCAGATTGAAAATATTTGAGGGCAAAAGTTGTATCTGTACTGACTATGTACAGATTTCTTTCCCTTGTCATTATTCCCTAAGCAATACAGTACAACTATTTACACAGCACTTGGGTTATATTAGATATTATAAATAATCTAGGGATCATGTAACGCATATGAAAGAACGTACATAGGTTATATGCAAATACTGTGCCATTTTTATGCCAGAGACTTAATCATCCAAGGGAGGTCCTGGAAACAACATAGGACTATAATAGTTCACAGAAGGAATATTCACAATAACCAAAAAGTAAAAAACAATCCAAACATCCATCAACTGGTAAATGAATAAACAAAATGTGGTATATCCACATGATGATGTATTATTATTTGGCTATATAAAAAGAATAAAAGGTATTGACATATGCTACAATGTAGATGAACCTTAAAAACATGCTAAGTGAAAGAAATCAATTCCCCCCCAAAACACATATTGTATAACTCCATTTTACGAACTGTCTAGAACAGGCCAATCTATAGAAATAAAAAGTAGATTAGCAGACGACAAAGGATAGAGGGTTACGAGAAATGAAAACGTCCTAAAAATGACTACAGTAATTCTGGGAGCAACTCTGTAAAAATACTAAAACCTACTGAATTGTACACTTTAACCAAGTAAATGATATGGTATGTGATTATCTCAATAAAATTGTCACTAAAAAAAAAACCTATTCCTCTTGAAAAATTTACTACAGCTTCAATTTCTTTAATGGTTTTGTCTGTCTTGTACAAATGTGAATAAAAAATTTCCTAGAAAATAAAACTTCCTCTCATTTTAATAATTTACATACATATAACTTATTAGTGATTTCTTATAATTTTAAAAATTGCCATTATAGTTGTACTTACACCTCTTTTTAAAATTTGACTATTTGTAACATCTATTTTTCTTGGGTATTTCCAGAACCAACTGAAAATGACCAGCTTTGACTTATCATATTGTTTTTATTGTTGCTGATTCTTTTCTTGTTTTGTTTTTTGATATGGAGTCTTGCTCTGTTGCCCAGCCTGGAGTGCAGTGGCAAGATCTCCGCTCACGGCAACCTCCACCTCCTGTGTTCAAGTGATTCTCCTGCCTTAGCCTCCTGAGTAGCTGGGATTACAGGTGCCCACCACCATGCCCGGCTACTTTTTGTATTTTTAGTAGAGACGGGGTTTCATCATCTTGGCCATGCTGGTCTTGAATTCCTGACCTCAAGATCCACCCACCTTGGCCTTCCAAAGTGCTAGGATTACAGGCATGAGCCACTGCACCCAGCTGTTGCTGATTATCTTCTAGCTCATCAAATTCTATTTCACTATTATTTCTTCTTCCTTTGGCTTTACTGTCTCCTTTTTTAGTTTTTTTAAATTGAACAGCTGGCTCATTTATTTTCGATCTTTCAATCTAATACATGCATTAAAGATTATAAATTTATCCCTAAGTACCATCTTTGTGGCATACCTCAAATTTTGATACAACACTTTTGTTGTGATTTGGTTCTAATTATTTTGTAATTTCCATTTTGTTTTTTAATTCTTGTATTCTTAGTCATTTTTCCTTTAATATTTCTTCTTCACTGTTTGTTGTATGCTCTCTTCTGAAACTCCAATTAGACATATATTGGAACTGCTCAGTCTACCCTCTCTAAGTGTCGTCTTTTCTTCTACATTTTTCACCTCTGCATTTCTCTGTGCTTGTCCCGAGGAGTCCTCATTTCTTTCTTCAAATTAATAACTTCTCTCTTTAGCTGTTTCTAATCTTCTATTTTACCCATTTATTGAGTTATTTTATTACAAGCTATATTTTTCAAGATTTTAATTGGTTATTTTACATAAATATTTATTGTTTCTGAAGTAACTGTTTTTATTCAATTATAATGTAGTATGCTCTTAGTTTAAAAAAAAAAGTAACTGATGTCTGGCTGGATGTAGTGACTCACTTCTGTAATCCCAGCACTTTGGGAGGCCGAGATCGGTGGACTACCTGAGATCAGGAGTAGTCCAAGACCAGCCTGGCCAACATGGCTAAACCCCATTTCTACTAAAAATACAAAAATTAGCTGGACGCAGTGGCACATACCTGTAGTCCTAGCTACTCGCAAGGCAGAGGCTGGAGAATAGCTTGAACCTGGGAGGCAGAGGTTGCAGTGAACTGAGATGGCACCACTGCACTCCAGCCTGGACGACAGAGTGAGACTCCATTTCACAAAAAAAAAAAAAAGTAACTGATAAATTTTAAGCTAAAACACCTTAGGCAAAATTTTCTTTGAAAAGTTCTCCACTATAAAGTTCTTCTTTAATGACACACACACAGAAAAAATCATCACTTTTCTAGTTCTTCTGGCTGCTATTCTGCCAAATGTTATCCCACTGTGCCTACCTGCTTCAAGGCATGAAAAGTTCTATTATTCCCATTTTAGAATTAGAGAAACTGAAGCACAATAAAGTTCTTTTTAAAACACTTTCTCTCCAACTTTTTTTTTAAATTTCAAAGCCATAGACAAGTTGAAAGTACAAATGACCCATACACCTTCTACCCAGATTCAAAATTCTTAAACATTTACAACTTTTGCTTTATCTTTTTTTCTCTCTCTTCATACACATACATGCACACACCACACCCAAATATCCACACACTTTTTTTCTGAACTCACTCCTGAACTGAACATAATACTTTACTTGGAACATTTCAATTTATTTCTCCAAAGAATAAAAGCACTCTCAATGTAACAACCCTATCATTCATACCGAAGAAACTATGAGATTAAACAGAATGGTACATAAACATGCAGCAGCAGATTCAAAACTAGGATTTAAGTCATCCAACTAAATGTTCTTTATCTTGGCTTGTCTAATGATTGGACAAACTGCTTTCTGATAATTATTTAGAAGCGACAGTCTGTCAAAAAGATTTCCTTACTTCATTTCTGAAAAGAAAGAAATACTCTTCAAAGATATTCAAAGCGCAAAAATCAAGTACACTGTATTTCAATTTGTTTTCTAACACTAAGTCTTAAAGTTAAGCCATTCTGCACTCAAAACTATAACTCTCTTTTTATATGCCACAAGATAAAGTACTAATAATATTATACTAATTAGAATTTCACTATACCAGCTTTTAAAGGGAAAAATTGTTTTTAAGAAAATAATACAGTACAAATAAGATTGATGAGTCAAATGAAGCTGCTTTATACATTTTTTAAAAACTGGGGGTGGGGGGAGAAAGAAAAGAATAAAAGACTGGCAAGTGTATTCATGAATCTATGTGAAAAGCTAATGTTTCAGTGGGGATGATTTAATCTGTCATTGATGTTAGGAACTAGGTAAAATAAACTATAAAATCCTATGCTTGCTCTCAAAGAACATAAAAACCCAGATTAAGAGTTGTATATCTTCATAATGCAACATACCCATGTAAAAAATAAAATAAATAAAAATTTTTAAAAGAACTCTGTATTTTTAAAAATAGCAATATAGCCAGGTGCAGTGGTTTATGTCTCTAATCCTAGCACTTTGGGAGACCAAGGCAGGCAGATCACTTGAGGTCAGGAGTTCAAAACCAGTCTGGCCAAGATGGTGAAACCCTGTCTTTACTAAAAATACAAAAATGTTAGCCAGATAGGGTGATGTACACCTGTAATCCCAGCTACTTAGGAGGCTGAGGCAGAAGAATCACTTGAACCTGGGAGGCAGAGGCTGCAGTGAGCAGATATGATACCACTGTACTCCAGCCTAGGAGAGAGAGCAAGACTCTGTCTCAAAAAATAAAAATAAAATAAACAAAATAAAAATTTTTTAAATAGCAATACAACTTGAAGTAATATTTAAGGGCTAAACTGTATCATTCAACTAACCATAACCACAGAAATGTTTAAGATCAATCTATAGCCAAATACTAGCCAACAAGAATATTAACTAGGTGCTGTAAGGCACTCTATTAAGTAAATTCCATGATTTAACATAATCTTATAGACATCTCACTTTTCTACTGAGGAATTGGAGGTAACAAAGATGCCAGCATAAAAGGACTGATAAGCGGTAAGACTTGCCTCAACTTTAAAGTACAGAAATCAGAATGGAAAGAACGCTATCTAAAGAAAGTGAAAAAGCACAAGCCAGTGTAAATATAACTATCCAAGTAAGAACAAACAAAAGTTTCAAACTGAAGAAATTAAGGCTAGATAAACAAGATAGAACTGGGTAGCAGGAGGCCGCAAGTACCCAGCAAACAGATGAAAGTTTTGTAAAAACACCTACAAGCAGTGCACCATTACAAGCTCTTTATGTTAAAATGCCTTTTTAGAAATAGTAACCTAATAATAATGCAAAATGAGTGGGAGAGAAATGAGAAGCAAGAAACAGTCTAATTCTATAGTAACATTTACAAATAACAATTCAACAAATTATTTGGTACCTGAGGAAATCAGAGGGCTCAAACTGAACCAAATCTACCACACTTCACATCAAGTCTTTTCATTACAAACAAGGAAGCGGTGAATATAATTGCAACATATCCTAAATTATTTTTCAAATATACTTTCAATGAAGTTCAAGATACATTGGAAACTGTCATTAAGAAGTGCTAGTCAAAAAAAAGAAAAAAGCTAGTCAGGCCAGGAACAATGGCTCAAACCTGTAAACCCAACACTCTGGGAGGCCAAGGCAGGCAGATGGTTTGAGTTCATGAGTTCACGATCAGCCTGGGCAACATGGCAAAACCCCATCTCTATAAAAAATAAAACAATTACTCAAGCATGGTGGTGCGCACCTGTAGTACCAGCTACTAGGGAGCCTGAAGTGGGAGGATAGCTTATGCCTGGGAGGCAGAAGTCACAGTAAGCCAAGATCACACCACTGCACTCTAGCCTGGGTGACAGAGCCAGATTTTGTCTCAAAAAAAAAAAAAAATTAATAAACAGAAGTGCTAGTCAACTATCCTTGCTGATCAGTACTACTATGCCAAAAGAAATTCACCTGCATAAAGACATCTGCATAAATTTTACAGTATAAGTATTTACTTCAAAAAAGCAACATCATAAAGAAAGGTATACAAGAATTCAACATTTAGCTTCCCTATATTGCTTTAGAACAACTACATCATTTACCAAAGGCCAGTAAATGTATAATATTTTAGAAGCAGCTATTTTGTAAATAAGACCCTTTTTTTTTTTTTTGAGATGGAGTTTCGCTGTTGTTACCCAGACTGGAGTGAAATGACACAATCTCGGCTCACTGCAACCTCCACCTCCTGGGTTCAAGCAATTCTCCTGCCTCAGCCTCCCGAGTAGCTGGGACTACAGGCACGCACCACTATGCCCAGATAATTTTTGTATTTTTAGTAGAGATGGGGTTTCACCTTGTTGCCCAGGATGGTCTCAATCTCTTGACCTCGTGATCCACCCGCCTTGGCCTCCCAAAGTGCTGGGATTATAGGTGTGAGCCACCACGCCCGGCCAATAAGACACTTTTAAATTGTCACACTTTTTATTCATACACCCATTAATAGTTCAGTATTTATTATCAATACAATAATTTCCATAATCTACATCAAACATACAAAAAGAAGCTATCTCAAATAACTTCCTTTCTTTTCAATTAAACAAACTCCTTCTCAAGGGACAAAATTTGAGGGGAAAAAAAAATCTCAAGTTTGTGAAAACTAGATTACTTACCAGTAACTTGAGTTATCCTATTGGGTCTTTTCCCTCACAGATCCACCTCTCTTGCCCTTCTGTCCAGCATGAGAATCTTCCTGATGGGCATCCACTGGAACTGAGGGGGCATGCAGTACAGACGTATATGTAAGAAAGTTTGGGGGAGGGGATTTGGGAGATGCTAGAGACATGCTTCAGTGCACTTGCTTACCTTCCTGAAATTGGAAATTTCAACGGTTCCTTGGTCCTCGAGGCACTCACAATAACTTCAAACAATGTGGATCTGTGGAGATTACCCAATAGGAGAACTCCAGTTACTGGTAAGTGATCCAGCTTTTTCTTCTCTATCAGAATAAGAAGATTATTTAATTTTATTTGAGATTATTATTACACATAAGAACTATGGGGGAAAGCACAAATTCACTAGATAACGATAGATGCACACACCAAAGTAAATTTGTAAACAATTTGCTAAATATAATGTCAATAGAAACTTCTGCATCATCAGAAACATAAGGGAAAGAAAATCATTAGAATAGTTTCATTTTAAAATGTCTATTATAATGGCTACTATATTTTAATATACAAAATTAACCAGGCTATTTCATTTTGCTGGAACAATATTGTTACGGTTTATATTAGCACAAGAATAATTAGTCTATCAAAATCTATCATTTCTTAACAATGTTAGCCATTGTCATTAACATTCACTAGATTTTAGTATAGAAGCCACCGTGGTGGACTAAAATATGTTAGAATTCAGATAAAATGCATCAATACAATTCCCATTTTATCACTAAGTCTTTAACCAGGCTGGGCATGGTGGTTCATGCCTGTAATCCCAGCACCCTGGGAGGCCTAGGCAGGCAGATCACCTGAGATCAGGAGTTCGAGACCAACCTGGCCAATATGGTAAACCTCGTCTCTACTGAAAATACAAAAATTAGACAGGCATGGTCTAACTCTTTTTGCATGCCTGTTAATACTAGCTACTCAGGTGGCTGAGGCACAAGAACTGCTTGAACCCAGAAGGCAGAGGTTGCAGTGAGCAGAGATCGAGCCACTGCACTCCAGCCTGGATGACAGAGTGAGACTCTTGTCTCAAAAAAAAAAAAGTCAGCTGGGTGCAGGGACTCACGCCTGTGGTCCCAGCACTTTGGGAAGCCAAGGCGGGTGGATCACCTGAGGTCAGGAGTTCGAGACCAGCCTAACATGGTGAAATCCCATCTCTACTAAAAATACAAAAATTAGCTAGGCATAGTGGCGGATGCCTGTTATCTCAGCTACTCAGGAGGCTGAGACAGGAGAGTTGCCTGTACTCAGTATACAGATGTGTTTTAATACCCCTTTACCATTATGCTTCTAAATAATCACCTCCTTCCTTCAAGTAATTTATGATTTCATGATTCTTCATCCTATGGAAACAAAGTATATGGTGTTTCCTTTAAGAATAGCCTAGTAACTAACTGACCATTGAATAAATGAAAGAAAACAAAACACACAAAAAAGAATGAATAGTATAAAATGGCCTGTAAAATCATTATTCTACAAAATCAAATTCAACATGTAACTCTAACGAAAATCTTATATTTCAATCCTGTTATAAGGTCTTATTTGTATTTAATGTTGACAACACATCTGTCAAAATCTTTGCTAGACTCTTACTTATATATAAGATACAAACTGTCTTGGATGAATACATGCATTTTTCTATAAATTTGAGTTACGTGTTAACAGTAATAAATACATTCACTTTTAAATGACCCATTCAAACAGGGTCACTACACAGATCTCCATGTCCAACTGGAATAAATATCAGAAAAGGGTCATCTAGTTAACTATTCTAGTTTACTAGACTCCTAGTCACTGAAGAATAAGTACATAGCACAAAGGTCTTATATGTTTGTAGTCATAAAACAGATCAAGAAGCAATAATGCAAATATTTTATCCTAATGGTGTAAGCTAGTATAAAAGATGTCATTAAGAGACTGGGCACAGTGGCTCATGCCTGTAATCCCAGCACTTTAGGAGCCCGAGGCAGGCCTTTCTCTCACTGTCCAGATTATTTTGCTTTGGGGCAAACAAGCTGCCATGTTTTTTTGAGCCTACAGACAAGAAAAGACCACAAAGCAATAAACTGATGTCTCTGGCCAACAGCCAGAGTTCTTAGGCCTGACAACAGACATGTGAGTTAATTTAGAAGCAGGTGTTCTAAGATCAGCTGACAACTACATGAGTGAGCCTGCAAATGAATCCTTCCCCAGTTGAGCCCTAAGATAACTGCAGGGTTGTGAGAGAAAAGGTGGGGAAAAAATTATATTATTTAAATTAATCTGACCAGATTTTGAAGACTTTTATTACTTTTCAAGTCAATTCTTAATAGCCATCTCTAAAGTGAATGTATTCTGTGTAAAACTGATTTTATAAAACTGATAAATTTTTCTAATATCACAAATTTCAATTGTCTCAAGGCAATTTTAAGGTCTCATTTTCCTTCCTTAGGGAAAGTCATCCTTTTTTATTGCCAATGAATAAACAACTTTTAAAAAAAGAAATTCCTCTATTACATTTCACCATGCTCATGCAAATCATTCTGCTTTAATATATTTAATTTCATTATCATTTTAAAAGTACATATAAAACCGTAAGTACTGAAATGCCATACCTTAAAAAGTCTTCGTTGTGTGTATATTGATGACCTTTTTATGGAAATATACAGCAAGGTATTAATAACAGTAAGGCACAAACTCATTCTCTTTTATCTAATCTCAAAATATTAATGTCCCAACATCTTTCATCTAACTAGAAGAATAACCCAACTAGTCTTTTTATTTATACATTCCTGCAGCCTGCCAGTCTATTTGCCTTACAGAAGCCACAGAGCACTTCCACACTTAAACTCATTAAATGGCTGCTTGTTACACTTCCTATAATCTCAGTGTCCTATATCATTTACAACTAAATTGTGATCTGGCATTTTACCTACTTGTTCACCTTCATCCGATGCCACTTACTCTCTGCCTCACTATGCACTAGTCTTTGCTCAATGGAAAACAAACTCCTAACCAAAGGGCTTGCAACTTGCTGTTAACCATAACTTTCACAAATACCTCCTCTTATCCCTTTTTTGGAGACAGGGTCTGGCTTTCCTCAAGCTAAAGTGCAGTGGGACACAATCTCAGCTCACTGCAATCTACCTCTCTTGGGTTCAAGCTATTCTCCTACCTCAGCCTGCCAAGCAGCTGGGAAACCAGATGCATGCTACCATGCCCAGCTAATTTTTGTACTTTTTGCAGAGATGGGGTTTTGCCATGTTGCCCAGGCTGGTCTCGAACTTCTGAGCTCAAGTGATCCAATGGCCTCAGCCTCCCAAAGTGCTGGGATTACAGTTGTAAAGACACCATGCCTAGCCTTCTCTTATCCTTCAGCTTTCTGATTAAATGCTACCCACTCAGAGAAGCCTCCCCTCTTTACCTATTTCAAATAATTCCCCTGGTTGCCACAATCTGCAATGATTTTATTTGTACTTTTTGTTTGCAACTTAAATTCCATGAGGGCTGGCTGGGCACAATGGCTCACAGCTATAATCCCAGCAATTTGGGAGGCCTAGGCAAATGGATCACTTGAGGTCAAGAGTTCAAGACCAACCTGGACAACATGGTGAAACCCCTTCTTTACTAAAAATACAAAAATTAACTCCTGGGAGGCCGAGGTTGCAGTGAGGCAAGATGGCACCACTGCATTGGGCAACAGAGCAAGACTCCTCCATCTCAAACAAAACAAAACAAAACAAAACAAAAATTCCATGAGGGTAAGGATGTGTCTTGTTCTTTTAACTCCATTACCTAGCCCAACTCATGCCCTAAATTAGCATTTTATTTTTTTTATCTGATGCTATCTCCAGATAAAACAGCATTTTAATGTTTAGTAAGTAATTAAAATATTTTTGAAATTCAAAAGCCATTCACTGCTATTTAGTTCTAGAGTCTTTGGCTATTCCTTTCTTATTCTGCCTATGTTCTAAATAACTTTGTTATTCAGCACTCATAAAACTGACTCTTTAGGCACTGTAAATCATATGAAATCTAGTGTAGGCCAGGTGCTATGGCTAACACCTATAATTCCAGCACTTTGGGAGGCTGAGGTGGGACAATCGTGAGAGCCCGGCAGTTCAAGACCAGCCTAGGCAACATAGAGGGACCTCATATCTATAAAAAATTGAAATAAAGAAAAAAAAATACTTCAGAGACAGCTATTACTTTATAGAACAAAAAGAGTTTTAAAAGAAGTGCTGTGATTGCTTGGTTAACCAATCATTGAAGAGTGCTATGATTCATTCCTCCTGAAAACAGAAAATAAGGGTTTCTTCAAACCATATATACTCCCTCATAATTATTATGCAATCTCCCCGGAGTTTTCAATGTAACCATACATTGGCTGGGTGTGGTGGGTCACGCCTGTAATCCCAGCACTTTCGGAGGCTGAAGCAGGTGGATCATTTGAGGTCAGTAGTTCAAGATCAGCCTGGCCAACATGGTGAAACCCCGTCTCTACTAAAAACACAAAAAAATTAGCTGGGAGTGGTGGTATGCGCCTGTAGTCCTAAGTACTCAGGAGGCTGAAGCAGGAGAATCGCATGAAACCAGGAGGTGAAGGTTTCAGTGAGCCGATTGCGGCACTGCACTCCAGCAGCGTAGGCGACAGAGTGAGACTCCATTTCAAAAACAACAACAACAAAACTTAAGTTACTATACATTTACTTACCACTTAAATTCTTGACACCAAGATGGACCCAATGTTTGGGGATTTTTGTTGTTGTTAATTCTGTCACATTTTCTAGCTATAATCTAAAGTCACCTTTAGAGGCACAGACTTAAAGATAGATGTTACTAGATAATTATATCCTTGGACAACAAAAGTTAGTCCTTAACATAATTTTACCCATCTTCCTACCTACCAGTATTAACCTCCTTTACTTTGCCTATAAATATAAATGAGAATTATTCTAACTAATATGAAAAGCTGAGGATAAGCACTATTCAGGATTATTATCTTGTTATGACTTCAAAGTATAAATTTGCCAGGCGCGTTGGCTCACGCCTGTAATCCCAGCACTTTGGGAGGCCGAGGCAGGTGGATCACAAGGTCAAAAGATCGAGACCATCCTGGTCAACATGGAGAAACCTCGTCACCACTAAAAAATACAAAAAATATTAGCTGGGCATGGTGGCGTGTGCCTGTAATCCCAGCTACTCAGGAGGCTGAGGCAGGAGAATTGCCTGAACCCAGGAGGCGGAGGTTGTGGTGAGCTGAGATCGCATCATTGCACTCCAGCCTGGGTAACAAGAGCGAAACTCCGTCAAAAAAGAAAAAAAGAGTATACATTTAAATGTCATACTTAGTAAAACAAATAGTACATGGAACTTGAGAGAAAAATTAAGATTCTGTCTGATAAAAATAAAAGCCATTAGGCATGGTTAAACACACCCCACTCTTTTTGAAAATATCCCCTTCCCTCTGTTTCTGTATTGTTACACTCTACTGGGTTTCCTGCTCCCTATTAATTTTTTTCCTTCTCCATTTCTTTCTTCTTCTTTGTGGGATGCTCTTTTTCTACCACTGCAAAAAAGTTAAGATGTTTCTCAAAAGTCTCTCCTAGGTCTCTTTTCTCATGGTATGCAATGTATTCTCTCCCTGATCTGTCTTAACCCACTCCCACAGCTTCAACACAAATCATGGGTGCTAATGACTATCAAATATGTATTTACACCCCTTTTCTCCTTCCTAAGCCTTACCCAACATATCCAAACTGCTTCACAGATACTCCCTCTCAGATCTTCCCTAAAATTCAACAAATCTATAGGTAAACTATTACCTTCCCCTAAAACCTGTCTTCCTATTTGCTGTCTCAGTGAGAAGTAACACCATTCACTCAACTGCTTAAGCCAGAATTCTGAGATTCATCCTTGATTCCTCCCCATTACTAGAACCCAACTTCCTCCCTCCCACAACCATATACAATCAACTATCAAGTCCTACAGATCTCTCCTAAATATATCTGTAATACATTCATTTCTCTCTCCCCTCTGGCATTCCCTTTGTTCAGGCCATTACTGCCTCTTGCCTAGATTATCACAATGGCTTCCACTAAATGGTTTCTCTCCTTTAGTTAAGATTCAGCAACCTCTAGTTAAGATTCAGCAAATAAGTAAGCATGACAAAAGAGAGAATGACATCTGTCAGCTGTGGTTTCAATCATGCATTATATTGATGATAAAACATTTTTAAAACTCCTGAAAATTGAACATTCAGGTTGCTTAGATTGATGTAAGTTCTTCTATCCATTAAAATGGGTATACTTAAACATATTCCATCTAACTCACAAAATTATGAAATGAAATTCCATAAATGCTCCTTTAAAAACAAGAAGTGGAAAGCAGTTTAAAACAGCAGCAGAATCAGATATATAATAAAGGGCCTTTTGCAGTTCATTTAAGTATTATCAGTACCTATACAAGACACTACGACAAGCATTGAGAATTTTATTAATATTATTACAATTATCATTAACTAAGAAATGTGCTAAATTCATTTTATTGCTTATATTTAATCAGCATCAAAAAGCCACAGGAATATAAATGTTGAAGGGATTTAAACTGAAATGTGATACTGGAATCAGTGGTAATGCCCTCAGGAAGGAAAGAAACAAATACAAAATATTTTCAATATACTGTGGATATACAACATCACTTTTTAGCATAGGATGTTTTAAGAGTAATTGAAAGGGCATTTGCTCTGACCTAGAGACAAGGGAATGCTTGGCCTTCAGAGATGAATCCTGAGCAATCATAAAGACCAAGAAAGGCAGGAGAAACAGAAGAAGGAGGGCAGAAGAAACAGCATAATATACAAAAGGGCACAGTGGCCTGAAAAAAGACCATGACCATGCTGAGACAATCCCAACTTTGAAAACAGACGTACTCTTTATGGCAAAGAGTAAAAAATTCTGCTTTTACTTGCTTAATTCTTAAGTCAATATATACTGCTCACTCCTATTACACTACCAGAGTACTTTCTAGATGTTAAACTTATTGGTAAGGTCCAAATTTTACGTGACAGTCTGTAACAAGCTACTAGGAAACAACACACACACATAAACACACATACACATACACACATACAGATGATTATCGATCTCATCAAGGCTTAGGTATTCCATGGTATTTCAGATTACTGCAGTTATAAAGCTGGGTGCACACAATTACCAACCACAGTGATATGCATTTACACATTTCCCTTTTTGACTTATGAATATGGTTTGTCTTCTCATAACTGTTAAAACTATATGATTGTCATTAATACACCTGAGTGTCTATGCTTGCAAAAATGTTATTATTGCCTATTTTATTGTGTAAAGTGGCCTATGAATTGTTCTGTTGTGTTTTTCTCTGTTTCTCAAATAAATCCTTTTTAAAATGTATGTGTCTTTTAAAAATGTATTATTTTTTCCAAAATATATTTTTGGGATTTTGACATTTTAGGATTGTGATTTGGCGGATTTTAGACTTTAAGGATGTTGATTTTTCAGGATTCCAACATTTGAGATTATGGCATTCAGGACTATATCTTTTGGAATTATGATTGGCTCCCAAAATAATCTTATTAAATGTTATCAAAATGTACAATTTGATAGCATTATGAATTTAACATACGTTTTATCTGTAAATTATACTGCTCATTACTCATTTAATCAGTCGATTATGTAGCTCTGAGCCTTACTAACCTTGGTCCTGAAAAAGAACAAATGTGTCTAAGATGATGAGTGCAGGGTAGGGTGGGAGGAAAGATAAAGGGAAGGAGGGAGAGAGAAAGGTCTTTCAAGAAAGAAAGCTTCAAATTTCTCCTGCCACCCTACAAAACTCACAAATAGCTCTTCTTTTTGAAATGTGAGGGTGGGTAGTCCAGTCACAATTAACTTAGCCTGTGCTGAACAGAATCTAAGTGGTAAAACACAGCAGTGATTTAAAAAAAAAAAGTTTTGCAAAACACCCTTATAAAACAAAAATTAAGAGAAATCCTAATAAAATATATAAAAACATAAAAGATCTGGATGAAGTGAAGCAGGCAACCACAGAGCCCCACTTGCTTGCTCCCACTGAGCCAATTCCATGAAACCTTAGGGATCCAATCAACACAATTCAAAACCACTATGCCTCCTGAGAGAAAGCCAGGTCTCTTCTTCCCCAAAAAGAAGTTGTTAGAAGTCAAGTTGTTACTTGACTCTAACAGACAACCCTCTCTCCTCTTTATTTCCTGAAACCTGCTCTTTCACAAGAGGTTTTCCAAAGATGGCCTTGGATGAGCTGTATGGTTGAAGGAATGTATAGCTGTGTACAGATATTGGGAGTAGGTATAAAAGAGAGGAGATATAACAAATAAAACATTTGGGGACATAAGAGTTCATTAAGCTCATTGAGAGAAGTGTCTGTTAGACAGAAAGGGGAACCAGAGATACAGACACAGAGAGATGACTGCATACCCACACGCCTGTACAAATATGCATGCCGACGCACAAACCTAGACATACAACACTGCCTGCACACACACGTGCACACACAGAAATATAGGGGAAGAGCTCTTTGGAAAAAGCAGCTCGAAGTAGGATGACTTCCTCAGTCCCCTGTCCACCTCATCTTCTTATCTGGAAAAAAATTGAGCAGTGTTCCTGAAATTTTAATGTGTGTATAAATAACCTAAAGATCCTGTTAAAATGCAGGTTCTGATTCAGTAAGTCCTCAGTGGGGACTGAGATTGGACATTTCTTTTTGTTTTGTTTTTTTTTTTGAGATGGAGTTTCGCTCTTGTTACCCAGGCTGGAGGGCAATGGCGCGATCTCGGCTCACTGCAACCTCTGCCTCCTGGGTTCAGGCAATTCTCCTGCCTCAGCCTTCTGAGTAGCTGGGATTACAGGCACGCGCCACCATGCCCAGCTAATTGTTTGTATTTTTAGTAGAGACAGGGTTTCACCATGTTGACCAGGATGGTCTCGATCTCTTAACCTCGTGATCCACCTGCCTTGGCCTCCCAAAGTACTGGGATTACAGGCTTGAGCCACCGTGCCCAGCCGAGATTGGACATTTCTAACAAGCTCCCAGATGATACTAATGCCACTGGTCTATGGACCACACTTTGATAGCAAAATCCTACAGAACAACACATCTCCACATGGTCTATATTATAACTGAAAAACAAAGTTCTCTGGTAAAATAAGACTGAGAACTGCTCAATTAAATAAGCCAAAACAAACTGTTGGACTGAAGGACTTCTCAGAGACTTAGAGGACAAGGATGAGGTAAGAATGGTCATAAGAAGGCCCTCAAATGGGGAAAAGTCTCCTTTTTCCCCATTCTTCCAATGAGAGACACCTCAAGGTTCACTTTCAAATGCTAACATCTATGCAAAAAGACAAGAGTGGAAACACAACATTTTAGAAGTAGCTAAATTCTGATGGAATGATAATATGAAGATAATCATTACTATCTTCCTCCTTATACTTCTTTAAATCTTTAATGTATACATGATATTTTTATAATCATAAGAATTATTATCTTAAGGAAAAAGTAAAACTCTTCACCACCACGCCCAGATTCTTTGCATTACCATTTATAACAAATTACTTTATTCAGGCTTACGTAAAACATAAAAGATTTTCTAGTAAAGGAAGAACAGTTGGTGAAGCAAATAAAGAAAATGAAGCAATCATAACATTTTAGAAGGTAGGCCAGAAATAAGTATCAGTGAAGAGATTTTGGGCTCTGTGGGGACAAAAGATAAATAGCAAAAATGGATGGAACAAAGAGGAAAGAAGACCAAAATCACTTTGCCTACTCTGCAAATGAGACTCGAGCTTCACCTGTTGAGCACTACCTCCCTGGCATAAAAATCATCTACTTGCTGCTGTTCTGGGTTAACTGTCCCTAGTATATTCCATAAAAGTAAAGCATAATATTGTGCAAAGGAACTCTGATCAAAGTATAAAACATAAAAAGATGAAATGGTTTAATTCATATGTCTGAAAAATGTCAGGGGCTATATAAACTTTATATCATGCACACACATCTGGTCATTCACACATTCACATATAATCAAAGTGATTATATTACTATCAGTGATTCTTAATATTTGCATCACAAATAAAAGAGAGAACATTTACTGCTATTTCTCCTGAGAAACACTATGATATCTTAATCTTGACTTAAGTGTAAATAATTTAAAAAAAGAAACTATAATATCAAAGAAGTGCAGATATACAGCAAAAGAACAGTTGTTATAAAAGACAAAAATGAAGTTTGTTAACATTTGTACTTCAAAAAGATCAGTAAATATAGGAAAAAAGACAGTCATTTTATTCTTTATTTACCACACTATTAGCCTAGATTTTTTACATTTTAATTCTTGCTTTTTAGTTCTTATATTATTCATAATTAGTAGGTCTAATGATCGAAATTGTTAAGAGATATACCACAACATCTAGGTATAGGGAAAATTGTAATAAGAAATCTTTAAGTTACTTTCTAGCAAAATTAATTAAATGCTACCACAGCAAGGGACAGGAGGCTGGGCATGGTGGCTCACACTTGTAATCTCAATACTTTGGGAGGCTGAGGCAGGAGAGCTGCTTGAAACAATGTTTGAGGCCAGGCTAGCCAACATAGTGAGACCTCATCTCTGCAAAAAAATTTTTAATTACCTGGGTGTGATGGAGCATGTCTATAGATAGTCCTAGCTACTTGGGAGGCTGAGTAAGGATGATCACTTGAGCCCAGGAGTTTGAAGTTACAGTAAGCTATGATTGTACCACTGTACTCCAGCCTGGGTGACAGAGCAAGACTCTGCCTCTTAAAAAAAATTTTTTTAAGGGACTGGAAATTCAGCTTTCCAGATCTCAAACTAATCAACTATTGATCCAAGTCACGATATTTCCAGCCTGTTTTCTTAGCTATCAAGAGGATATGAGGCTAGAGCCATGAGTTCCAACAAATAGAAAAGACCTCACCCAGCAGATTGCTAAATATTACTAGTTCCCCAAGTTCCACAATTAAGAATCCTCCAAACTTAACTAAAAATCTCAACAAGAAGGTTTTGCAAATAACAGTGGGCTCAACCCACTTCAAAAGTTTAACACAAGCCTCTCTACTCCAAACCTCTCAAGATCTTCCCTCTGATGACTCTCTTAAACTACCATTAAGGTTTCAAGTAATAAAAACTTGTCTGGCTCAGGAAATGACTAAACACTCTAGAGATACTTGCCTTTTACCTCTATAATTCTCAGTAATTCTATAATTTCCCACAATAAACAATATTACAGAAAGAAGTACATACAGACAGTTTTAAAACATGATTATAAATCACAGCTCATTTAACAAAAGGTAACAAAAGTTTTTAGCAACCATGAAAACCAATAAACAAAACTCTGTAGGTGTTCAACAAACATCTGTTAAGTAATTATTACAAGCTATGAAGAATTATTTAAGGAAAACACACCTTAAAGGAAAAAATCCAGTTTCCCTAAATCCTTGCTTGAAAACTTGATATTCCACAGAATGTTCATCTTTCTACCAAGTATCCTGGCCCTATATCTAACCTTGAAGGAAAGGAATAAGCAAAAGACCTTTCATTCAACTAGGATAGTTTTATAAACCCCTTTATTAAAGACAAAGGAGTAAAAAGATTAACCAGTAATCAAACAACCCAGGTTTCAACCTAGACTCTAACATTAATTCTTTGACCAGCGGACCATGTTCCTCACTAGTCATATAGGTGTGGTTCGATGAGCAAATAGAAGGATATATAGGAGGCCGGGCGCGGTGGCTCACGCCTATAATCCCAGCACTTTGGGAGGCCGAGGCGGGTGGATCACGAGGTCAAGAAATCGAGACCATCCTGATCAACAAGGTGAAACCCCGTCTCTACTAAAAATACAAAAAATTAGCTGGGCATGGTGGCACACACCTGTAGTCCCAGCTACTTGGGAGGCTGAGGCAGGAGAATTGCCTGAACCCAGGAGGCGGAGGTTGCGGTGAGCCAAGATCACGCCATTGCACTCCAGCCTGGGCAACAAGAGCAAAACTCCGTCTCAAAAAAAAAAAAAAGAAGGATATATAGGAAAGCACTTTGAACACAGTAAAGCACTACACAAGTGCGCTTACATAAAAGGACAGAATTGTTAAATTTATACATACTCAGTACTTGAAAAATCATCCCAGAAACTATCTATTTTGTAAATAAAATAATTTTGTACTAGTGTTACATTATTAAGTTTAGTGTCTGTTTCTTAAGTTACCTTATTGGCTATGTTGGCAATGATAGCATGATATTCAGGTTTCTCTCGTTTTCTTTCAAAAGCATTGTTGAGAAGATTAAATGCTTTTAATTTTCATTGTTGAGAAGATTAAATGGTAAAGTCATTATCACAGTGGCTGACACACAGTAAGTGCTCAGTAAATAGTGGCCGTTAATGTTAAAGAATAAATGATGGCTTATCTGTTATGGCTGCCAAATTCATTGGCTTGTTGTTGTTGTTGTTGTTGTTGTGACTTCTGGTAGTTTCCGGTATTGGAAATTCAGTAAAAGTTGTATCTTTGATTATCTGTCACTCGTGCAATGCTTTACTGTGTTCAGAATGTTTTCCGATATATACTTCCATTTGCTTATCAAAACACCCTATGCAACTGGTGAGGAACGTAGAAATCCAGTCACAGTTACAAAGGCATGATTTATAATGTCATTGGCAAGAAACAAATAAGAAATACAGTAACAGAATGAATATTAGCACCTAGATTTAAACCTGGGTTGTTTGAAACAGTTTTATAAAACTATGATAGTTGGGTGAAAGGTTTCTTTGCTTATTCTTCCTTCCTTCAAGGTTACATACAGGGCCAGCATACTATGTAGGAAGTTTCAGTCTACTGAATTTTTACATTGTATAACTATCATCTTAAAAACAGTAGTTTTTTTTTAAAAAAAAAGTACATATATACACACACAAAAAAATGAGAAGGCTTTACCCAACAATAAAATGGCAGCTGATTCAAATAACATAATTTGGCTAAAATTTCTTAGGGTAGAAGGTAATCAATCAAACTGAAAACTGGCCATGATGCTAAAGCACATTTTACCAAAAGTGCTTTATTTATATTTACGTATGTATTTGTACAGATGGGGATCTCGCTATGTTGCCCAAGCTAGTCTTGAACTCCTGGGCTCAAGCAATCCTCCTGCCTCTGCCTCCCCAAAGTGCTGGGATTACAGGTGTGAGCCACCTCACCCAGCCAAAAGTGCTTTATTAATAATGGCCACAAGCAGCCATAAAAAAGAATGAGTTCATGTCCTTTGCAGGGATATGGATGAAGCTGGAAACCATCATTCTCAGCAAACTAACATAGGAACAGAAAACCAGACACCACATGTTCTCACCCACAAGTGGGAGCTGAACAATGAGAACACAGGGAGGGGAACATCACACACTGGGGCTTGTTGAAGGGTGGGGCAGCAATGGGAGGAAGAGCATTAGGACAAACATCTAATGCATGTAGGGCTTAAAACCTAAATGATGTTTGCAATGAAAACCATGACTAAAAATAAAAATAAATAAAAATAAAAACCTAGGTTGATAGGTACAGCAAACCACCATGACACATGTATTCCTATGTAACAAACGTGCACATTCTGCACATGTATCCCAGAACTTAAAGTAAAATAAAATACAGTTTTTAAAAGGCCACAACAATAACTGTTTTCATATAAGCATAGTCTTCTCCAAAAACTAGAACTATGTTGGAAAACCCATTCTCAACCCCTTGTATTTTACTCACTAGCAAATATTCTCTTCTATGCTAGAGTTGAAACCCTTAAACACCAGTATTGGGTCTCAACCACAATTCTGTAGTCCTAGCATAATTCATTGCATATGATAGGTTCCCAATCAGCATGTATTTATAACATATTTGAGTTTCTGATAAGCCCTTTATGTCAACTACCTTAACTTTTTCATTAAACAAAACACTAACAATTTAGGTGAGGAATGCAATGAATTTCCTTTTATACGCTTTTTAAGTTCTGGGATACATGTGCAGGACATGCAGGTTTGTTACACAGGTATACATATGCCATGGTAGTTTGCTGCACCCATCAACGCATCATCTACATTAGGTATCTCTCCTAATGGTATCTCTCCCCAAGTCCCCAACCCCTGACAGGCCCCCATGTATGATGTTCCCCTCCCGTGTCCATGTGTTCTCATTGTTCAACACCCACTTATGAGTGAGAACATCGGGTGTTTGGCTTTCTGTTCCTGTAGTAGTTTGCTGAGAATGATGGTTTCCAGCTTCATCCATGTCCCTGCAAAGGGCATGAACTCATCCTTTTTTATGGCTGCATAGTATTCCATGGTGTATATGTGCCTAGTCTGTCACTGATAGGCATTTGGGTTGACTCCAAGTCTTTGCTATTGTGAACAGGGCTGCAATAAACATACATGTGCATGTGTCTTTACAGTAGAATGATTTATAACCCTTTGAGTATATACACAGTAATGGGATTGCTGGGTCAAATGGTATTTTTGGTTCCAGACTGAGGAATCGCCACACTTTCCACAATGACTGAACTAATTTACACTCCCACCAACAGTGTAAAAGCGATTCTATTTCTACATATCCTCTCCACCATCTGTTTCCTGACTTTTTAATGACTGCCAGTCTAACTGGTGTGAGATGGTATCTCATCATGTTTTCATTTGCATTTCTCTAATGAACAGTGATGATGAGCTTTTTTCATATCTTTGTTGGCTGCATAAATGTCTTCTTTTGAGAAGTATCTGTTCATATCCTTTGCCTACTTTTTGATGGGATTATTTTTTTCTTGTCAATTTCTTTCTGTCCTTTATAGATTCTAGATATTAGCCCTTTCTCAGGTCAACAGATTGCAGAAATATTCTCCCATTCAATAGTTTGCCTGTTCACTCTGATGACAGTTTCTTTTGCTGTGCAGAAGCTCTTCAGTTTAATTAGATCCCATTTGTCTATTTTGGCTTTTGTTGCCATTGCTTTTGGTGTTTTAGACATGATGTCTTTGCCCATGCCTATGTCCTGAATGGTATGGCCTAGGTTTTCTTCTAGGGTTTTTAAGGCTTTACATCTTATGTTTAAGTCTTTAATCCATCTTGAGTTAATTTTTGCATAAGGTGTAAGGAAGGGGTCCAGTTTC